TCTTACACTGCTAAATTAGGGACGGCTAGCACAGATAGCCCTCGTGTAGCTTTGCGCGAAATCCAAAACAAACAAAAACAATTATTAATAAATATCGAACTACATAAGAATATTTCATTATTAATTAATATGGAAGAACATATCATTGGTATAAATATAGAATTAAATCAGAACAAGTGGTCAATAATAAACATGGAATTATACCAGAATATATCATTAACAATAGATGTAAAATTAACTAATATGTCATTAGTATAATTATAGAATCACACCAGAATATCTCATTAATGTAAGTATAGAATTACAACAGAAAATCTCACTAATAATATACACATATCTGATTCTATATTTCTCCAAAATATTTTGAAGAAAAGAAACAAGAATTATCTGTTGTGAATTGGACAACTGAATTAATTGGCGATACTGGTCAAATATGGAAACTTTTAAGTATCGACGCTAAGCGTGTTCCTTATAGAAAAAAAATGGCTCCAGGTAAAAACCACGTTGGCTTACAAAGGATATAAAGGACAGAATTAAAGAAGAGCATTAAAAATTTAAGAAGTTTAAATTGACCGTTGTGATTGAGGAATTAGATAATTATAGAAGATCAAGAGAATTAGTCAAACGATAAATTAGCAAATAGAATAACTACGTGAAAATAGGTTAGCTGAAAATGTAAAAATTAATAGCAAGGATTTCGTTAAATACATTAAGAGGAAGCAAATGGTTAAGATGTGAGTTAGGCCTTGATGGCTGATAGAGGAAGGCTCATATTTGATGAATGATATGTTTTTTTTAAGTTCTACTTATTATTCAATTTTTACAATAAAATTTAACCAATATTTTTCATCCATAACACTTGCTAGCTGTAAACAAGATCGAACAACATGATCACATTAATCCATAACTTGTTAAGAAAATATTGTGAAGTTTAAAGAATGATAAAGCTCTTTGATCATATAATATTTCCTCAAGGGTTTTGGAGGAGGCTAATAATTGGACATGTGAGCCACCTGCTACTATTTATCGTACGTCCGTAAATAGTGGGAAGGTTTCAGATGATTGAAAGTTGACTAATGTTACTGCTCTTTCCAAAGGAAGTGATAAAAATTATCGCAGTAATATAGGCCTATTGGTCTTACGTACACGAAGGGAAAAGATACTAAAAGTCTGATAAGAGATGCTTTGCAAGGGCATTTAACAAAGTCTAATTTTTTCGTATAGTCACCATGATTTTACTATGGGAATTTTTTCTTTTATTCATCTTTGACATTCTTTGAAGAGGTTACTGCTTATGTATATGAGAGTACGGATGTGGATTTAGTGTAACTAGGCTCAAAAATTAGGTGTAGGGGATAGGTTGGCTCAATGGATAGAAAACTGGCTCGATGAAAGAAAACAGAAGGTTGTTATAAGTGGAGTTCAGTCAAACTGGACTAATGTCACAAGTGGGGTACGTCAGGGCTCAGTATTATGATCTTTGCTCGTTGTAACTTACATCAATGACATAGATGAAGGAATGGTCAATAAATTATTTACGTTTGCTGATGATATTAAGAACTTGAGTATTAATTGCTGTGAGGAGGATGCTGCTGATTTACAAAAGGAGAAATTACATCACGTGTTACCAGTCTCACGTGACTTCCGCTGTCGTAACACTGCCCCTTCCTTAGTATTGTTCGTCGTTAGCATTAGCCACTTACATTAATC